GTATATTCTACGTATATCTGGTGTTTTTGATTTGTTACTTGCCTTTCTTCATCAGTTTGGTCGTCTTTGCAATCAACGGCCCCACTATCTCTTTAAAAAGATTTTACCTTTTCTCGCGGACTCTCGTATATCTTAATTCAACTTTGAACCCAGTAATTTACTGTTGGAAGATGAGACACTTTCGACACGCTATCATGGACATACTGCGGAACATGTCATGGTTCAGAAATCGCGGAACACAGTAATCTTAAGACCAGTCACTTGCAGTGTTGTTATTGTTGAATCCTGTAAGTTACTGCTTTAACCATCAACAGGTGTTAAAAACCATCCAAAGAATTGCCGTAACATGTTCTCCCTTTTAATTTTTTGGTTTATGGTTGGAGAACATCGATGTAATTTAGTAGTTTTCCATGATCGTTTGCCTTATTAGATTTTTTCCGATAGATAGCGGCTCTCTTAACCTTGTAATCATGCAGTTGATAATAATGTGAATAAACATCGGAATAGTCTATTCTAACTTGATATTAGAGTTGTTTTGGATGTTAATCATATTTTAATTACTCGAAAAGTTGTTCTTCCCCGGGCTATGCTTTGTGTTGTATATAATTGTGTCTGGATTNATCCAAAGAACTGCGGTAACATGTTCTCCCTTTTAATTGTTTGGTTTATAGTTAGAGAGCATTTTTGTAATTTGTTGTAGTTTTCCATCGTTTGTCTTATTAGATGTTTGTGAAATTTTCCTATAGATAGCGGCACTCTTAACCTTGTAATTATGCAGTTGGTAACAATGTGAATAAACATCGGAATAGTCTATTCTAACTTGATATTAGAGCTGCTTTGGATGTTAATCTTATTTTAATTACTCGAAAAGTTGTTCTTCCCCGGGCTATGCTTTGTGTTGTATATAATTGTGTCTGGATTGTGACTTTATAGTTAGTGGAAGTTTCACTTCACTTTTTGATGTGGTATTGATTCTCTTGAACAACGTGCTCCTACAGGAAACACAATTGTTCTGCACGCCGCATGCGGAGTGCATGAAACTGTCAGCAGTTTACAGCTGTGCCATCGATTAACATACTAAGCGACTTTTTGAAAACATGGTTTTGTTTTCCTTTCCTTTTTTCTTTTGAAAATATAAAACGAATTTAGTCATGAAATTTCTTGAATGCAAGTACTAACGTTAACTTGTTTTCGACCAAAGTCCTTCGACCAACGTCCTGGTTATGTAGCTAAGGATATTTTTTTTTCGGTTGTGTTTCGGCTGTTTTTCGGTCATTTACCACGTCCAAAATATTCGAAATTGAAGAGAGTGCTTTAGGTTTTCGCAAAAGATAAAGCTTATTTAATAGACAGTATGCACACATAGAGAGAGACCATTGACATTTTCCTTCTTGGCTTTAATGGATCAGTAATTCAAAACGGACATATATACAATAGCAGTTTCATCTCAATTTGACAGCTAACGTCACTTATCATTCTCATTTCTCCCCAAAATTTGAAATGTGTGTCATAAAAACATTCGACAGAGCGAATTTCGAAAGAAGTTCTATAAAAGAAACTTCTATCGATGTTCCGAGGAAATGATCTTGTGCATTACTGCTA